TTTTAGATTTTTCCATTTATTCTGCATTTTAAAATTATTTTTTAGAATATATCAGTGTAATATTCTATTAGAATATTTCAATTATTTTTAAAAAAAAAACGGAATTTTTTTTAGTTAATTCAAGTTCCGAAAATAATATTTAAAAAAAGAATTTTTGTATTTTTCCATTTATTTTGTATTTTAAAATTATTTTTAGATTTGATCTCACGATCTCACAAAATTAGAATGGTCTCAAATGAACCTGAACCTATATATATATATATATATATATATATATATATATATATATATATATATATATATATATATATAGAGAGAGAGAGAGAGAGGATGGTTCCATTAAGATTAATAAAAAATTAGAGATTGTGAGATTAAATATCAACCAATGGAACTTAACGTCAATTGTTAAATGATTAAGGGGTATAACAGTAAAATTCAAATTAATGTTTAGAAAACGGACACTTTCCTTCTCTAAAAATCATCATATCGTTAAATCATCGATTTTCAGTATCAGTCACGTAATCATATCATCTAATCTTCAACAACTCATTCAATATAATAAAAAAGATCCAATTTTTACAAAATCTGTTATCAAATTATTCGCAATCTTCAAATCGAAAAAAACGATCGAAACAGAGCATCAGTTCATATCCTCATAAATACGAGATACAAACCTCAAATCGAAGAAACAAGCTCCTCGCAATCGTAAACAAAGCATTTGAAAATCGAATCAAAATCAATTTTCATAAATGATATCACATCCAAAAGAAATTGACAAGTCGATCGCAACTGATACTATTATAGCTTAAATCAATTCATCTCCTAACGACGAACAAATCGATTCAATTTCTTTCACTTCTGAAGAACTTCAAAATACGATTCGTATTGAAGGTACAACTAATACGTTTTCATACTACATATTACATGACGGTTTCTACATTTCATTCTGATTCTTTTATTATACAATATAAATTATGAATAATCATATATGATTATACAATACAATATGTGATTTAATCATATAACGATGAATAATCATATATGACTATTCATATCTATGATTAATCATATATGACTATTCATATCTATGATTAATCATATCTATTTATAGTTTGTAATTATGATTTATCATATATGTTTTCAAATTGAAATCTATATTAATACTACATTTAGATGAATAATCATATATGATTATACATCATAAAATAGGATTAATCATATATTACAAACTACAAATACATATGATTAATCATACATGATTAAACAATATCAAGTATGATTATTTATAAATTGATACGTATAATCATTTATGATTACACAGTATATTATATGATCAATCATATAATACAATGTACAAATAAATATGATTTAACATCTAAAAATATATTAATATCTAAAATCATAAATGATTTTTTATACTAAAGTATAAATACATATCGTTAATCACATATGATTATTACAACATAAAATTATATAATAACATATTTGTCATTCCCTTCTTTTATCAGGTGAAAGTTCCAATTCAACAAATGAATCATATTGCAGTAACATAATTGAAGAATCTGAATATAAACCAGATGTCCTTACAGAATTTGTACCAATTGTAAATAGTGTTTTCAAATCACTAAATTTGGCAGTAAAAATGTATACGGATTATGCAGAAATGACATGCTTTCATACAAGACTGAGTAGCCAATCAAAATACAATAGCCAAATAATAAAAGAAATATTGTTATATGCAATAGGGGTGGCAAGGATAAACCAAAACCTTGTAATACGTTGGCTACAAGTTCTGTCAAGAGGAAACCAAATTCAACCAAGATAATTATTGGGTGTACAGCAAAGATTATATTTGAAAATGTTTATGGAACAACATATTACAAAGTTAAGAAATTCTTTGAAATACACAACCACCAACTGGAAAGTATTGAGGAAAGACCGTATACGAAAAAGGCAAGAAAGATGTCATTTTCTGAAAAAGAGTTTGTAGTACGGGCATCAAAAGCTAAAATTAGTCCCATAATAACTCAATAAATATGAACAGTTTTGAAAGGAGGATATGAATATGTAGGGGTGAAGGTAACATACTACAAAAACTTGAGGAGAGGAGTAAATAGAATCTTATGTTACAAGGATGCTCAAATAATGATAAACAAAATGAATGATCATAGAGATCATTACCCAAATTATTCATTTGAGTTCCTACGTGATCGAGATCTATTGGCTGCTATGTTTTGGGCAGATGAAAGAGAAAAGGCTTTTTATGAAGAGTTTGGAGAAGTTATATCTTTTGATGCAACTTTTTGAACAAACAAGTAAGTTAATGTATATAAATTCAAACATACTATTAATCAAATATGATTGTACTAAACACATTTTCTTTATATAGGTATAAAATGGTATTTGTTTCATTCACAGTAGTTGACCACCATAAGAAATCAGTTATTGTTGGTGTTGGGTTGCTGAGTAGAGAGACAATTGAATCGTATGAATGGCTACTTAAAGCTTTTCTTAGAGCTTATGAAGGGAAAGCACCAAAAATTGTTCTAACTGATCAAGATGCAACAATAAAACAAGTAGTGGAATCTGTCTTACCAAATTCAAGACACAAACTATGCATGTGACACATAATGAAAAAACTGCAAGCAAATGTATAATAAAAATACATTATATAATCATATATGATTATATAGTATTATGACAGATGATTCATATATGATTTATCAGATAGCATACTATATAACCATATATGATTAACTATTCTAATAATATGAATTATCAGATACCATATTGTATAAACCTATATGATTACATAGTATGTAATATGATAATACAGTATATAATCATATATGATTATATAATCATATTATTAAAATGCTTAATCATATATGATTGATATAATGATATATACTTAAGTATGTTAATAATATGATTATATATGATTAACCATATATGATTATAATAATATAAGTTATCATATATCATACTATGATTATGATGATACAATATATAATCATATATGATTATATAATACGATTATATAATCATATATGATTACAATACATATATGATATATGATTAATCATACATGATATATCCTACATTACAGTAATCATATATGATATATCGAAATAGGTATATAATTTATACTTATATAAGCAAAATTGTTCATTCATAGGTTACTGGCGATTTATTTAAAAACAAAGACTTCAAGAAAAGATTTAAGAAGCTTGTTTGGAACATGCATATCAAACCTGATGAATTTGAAAAGAAGTAGGTTTGATTATTAATGAATTCAATCTGGAAGATAAAAGATGGTTCAATGATATGTTTGAATAACGTGACAAATGAATACATGCATACTTCAGTGACACCAGAATGTCTGGATTGATGAAAACCACTTTAAGATCAGAAAGCATGAATTCCTTCTTCAACACTTACTCTGAATCTGGAAATTTACTTTTACATATCATGATGGACTATGACACAGTAATTCAAAAACAAATAAATACACAACAAGAGCTTGATCATCAAACAAAGAAGGCGGTATATAAATTTATTTCACCACGACCAATAGAAAAACATGTTGCAAAAGTTTATATAAGTACATTGTTTTATAAAGTACAAAAAGAAATCTATAAAGGTTCCTGGTACTGCCAATACGAACATGCCAATACGAACATCTTGCGACAAAAAATGGATGAGAGTTATACAAAGTGGAACAACTGAACAAAAGCAGTGATCTAAAAATAGAATCTGAGGTAATATATTCTTATTTTAATTTTTGTTGAATCAGCACATAATATAAAAAAACATTCAATAGTGATTATAAAACACTTAATACTTTAATTTTATTTTGAACAGGTAGAAATAAAACTTCCAACAAATGATGTAAAATGTACATGTGAACACTTCAACCGCTTTGGGACTTTGTGCAGACATGCATTCAACATACTCATGAAACATCGTATTAAGGAGATTACCTGAACAGTACATTAAGAATTGTTGGAGAAAGGATGTGATATCAAGGCACTATAATTTTGGTAGACATGTATATGATACAGGAGACAGTGAAATTAACAGATCTGTCAATTAAGCATACTACAACTTTGAAGCATGTTTGGAATACGTAAGAAAAAATAGATAAAAAATGGATTTGTTTGTTAAGAAAACAGAAACCATGCTGAAGGAATATGAAAACGATCCTACAAATGAATTGCAGAAGAATAGGACAAATGTTGAAGAGGTAGGAAAGCTTATGGTCATATCTATTCCAAAAAATATTAACATCAATGTTCCAAATGTTCAAAGCAATAAAGGATGCGGAAAGAAAAGTAGAATCCAAGTGCAGCAGAAATAACGTATAAAAATTCAAACAAGCAAACAAGAAGATGCTCAAGATATGGAGAAAGGGCTACTCATAACTTGCGGACATGCCCAATCAAACTTGCAGTAGAACAATCATCAAAAGCTACATAGATATTTACTGCTTTAATCAGTAATGAATAAGTCATGAATTTTTTTTCAAAATAATATACTTTTTGTTTAGTACACTTTACTCTTTTTATAAAACAAAATTTACTATGATTTTGTCTACTGGATTTAATCTACTTTGATAATTCTTTCTTTGATTTAATAATATATTCATTCATGATTAAACTTCTACTAAATGTTACTACAAGCATTTAAGATTACATATACAATATTCATCTGTATACATGTAATAATTACACATAACCATATACAATATTCATCTGTATAATCATAAAATATTATGTAATACTACTTCATATGTTTTGTTTAATCATAAGTGATTAAAAATATGATTACACATAAAAAAAACATATAACCATTACATATAACCATATACAACAACATTGTTCCTAACAAATATACAATACTGCTAATAAAAAATCTAAAGATAACAATATTCATCATCATAGAATAACATCAAACATGATAAAATCTTCAATAACAAACAATTTCACAAGTCTCAAATATCACGTTTCCCATTTTCCAAGATTCTTGTTCTTCATATTCCTAGCTAGATTTTCATAAAGATTGTAGTTGACTCCAAGAACTCTTCCACCATTACTTAGAAAGATTATCTCCACTGAACATAACAAATCTTTACTACATATCTGATGTAGAGAAATGTTGTTCGTTAAAAAGAAAACTTCTTTAAATGAACAACATTCCTCTACTGCATATTTTACCTGAAACAAAATGGAAGTTGTTTACATCATACATAAATAATGGTGATATATAAAAATTAAAGAAATTAATCAAAAAAACTAACCATTTGGAAGTATTTACTCATCTTTGAAGAAATATAAGGGGTAGCATGAGGCTACCCCCTTTATACAAACATAATTACTTATCAAAAATACAATATATGGTTGTACCAATCAGTTTTCATTTATAAAGAAAAGATTCTTCAATACAAACACTAAAAAACAAAACTAAAATCTTACAAAGATAAGATTCTGCATGGTGATGTATTCCATGCAGTAAAGATAAGCTCAATTATCAAGAAAAACATATAACAAATAATAATGTGTTGTACAACAAGTATAATCATTTATGATTACAAAAACAGAAAAAAATAATCGATACAATCACTAATGATTACATATAAGCAATATATAATCAATAGTAAAAACATAAATTACATATAAAAATATAACATAATCACTTATGATTAACATTCAATAACATAATTCACACAAACAAACTTAGATAATAAAATCTACCAAAATACATATTAACTTGTTTTCCATCACCATGTTTTCCATCATCATAAAAACAAACATTCTTCACAATATCCATAACATACACAATATAAACAACCTTGTTCTTATAACATCATCAATAAGAAAATATCCAATAAAAAAAATTGACAACCTTCTTTCTATATTCCATTGAGCATCATATGCATGCTTACCACGAATCTTTTAATCAACTTTTTGATAGTCATATGCAGCTTTCAACACATCATCACGCTTTGAATTAATCTCGGAAGTTAAGATTGTTGCTGCATATTTCATTCTCAACTTTTCCAGAATTTTTTCTTGAGAACCACCTTCTTTTGGAAGACCACATTTCTATTTAGAACCTTTTTCTCCAAAAATCCAAAATAACTCTCCATATGTCTCATAGCAAAAACTCCACAATCCACTTTGTTATAAACTATCCTCCATGGCATTGTCAATCTTACTGGAGTAATACTTTTATTAGCCATTTCATTTACTTTAACATGACCGATTTCAAGACAGAAAAATATAAGTATAATAATTATAAAATATATCATATATGATTTCAAATTTAAAGAATAAATATCATTTGAAACTTACAAGAGGTTTAAAAACTGCATCATACTTATCATCGAAATCAACATCATATGCACCATTATCAATAACCTCAAAAGCACGTTTCTTCAGATTCATAACAATAAGATATATGTGCTCATGCCTCCAAACCGGGAAAAATACCTAACATCAACATGTATAATATTAGAAATAATATATATATATATATATATATATATATATATATATATATATATATATATATATGTGTGTGTGTGTGTGTGTGTATAAAAATACATATACCATATCAACATTCTTCAAAACCTTCAAGTCTCTATCACCACAAACATTGCGAGAAAAGCTCTCCTTGAAAACTTTATATTTTGCACTTTCATTCAAATGAGTATATTCAAATAACAAAGACTGTAATATAAGAAAATCATAAATGATTATATAATAACATGTAAATATTTAATAAAAAAAATTATTAATAATAAATAAAAACTTACAGTGTCATAATTCATGAACAATCTGAGTGGAGAATTAACAACATCTCTGAATTTCTCTTCATGATTTAGTATAAGAGACCATGAGTCAAGAACACTAACATGCAAATGAGTTTTTTATAAAGATTTTCATAATTAGCTCTAAAAACAATAACATCTGTTTCCATAAGCAATACAATATCCCTGTATATATATTTATTTAAATGTTATTTAAAAGAAAAAATTATAATTATAAAAATAAAAAGTTATATTAAAAAAAATTACCCTGGATTTCCTTGAAGACTGAAAAGCCATTCACAAACAACATTTTCTACTTGTTTCAAACTAGGTTTAAAATCAGTCAACCTTTCCTTAAATGGTGACTTATAAACATAAGAAAACTTCATTTGTCTCTTTACTCTGACATCCATTACTCAGGTTGCTTCTTCATTTATATCTTTAAGTTTGTCGGAAAAAGGTTTTGATGGTCCTTCTAATGTACCCAAAGGGGGTGCACAAGAAACTGGACTAGCATCAATAACATCAACATTTGGAATAACACACTTTGGACCAGCACTTGGGTTTCCCAAAATAACTCTATCCTTAATCTTTTTCTTTGTCATCCGTTCAAAAGAAATTTGACTTTGAGATGACTTCTTGGAACCTTCAGAGTCTTGACTAAATCCAAGACTAAAACTTGGAACAAGATCATTTTTCAATGATCGAGTCTCATTTGAATCCTTGTTTTTATTTGAACAATCTTCAACATTTTCTACCCAATAAAATTATAAAAATCATATATGAACAAACAATAGTTATAAACACAATCATATATGAATAAACAATAATTATAAACAAATTACCTCCATCTTTATTTTTATTTGAACAATCTTCAACATCTTCACCTTCTCCGTCCTTCTTTGCTACAATAATTTTATAAACAGTACGATCTGAAATTACTTTATTCTTATGATCATCCTCACCTAAATTTACTGTCCCTATATTATTAAAATCATAAATGAATCATCTATATAACATATTTATATATTATTTATGTATTAAAAATACATAAATAAATACTTACCATCATCACTACCAGTCAAATTCAAATTCACATCATCTTCAACTAGTTTCTGATTTAAACAACCATCAGTACCTATACAATTCAAATATAAAAAATTAAAATCATATATGATTAAACTATATATAATAAAATATGCCTACCTTGATCCAAAGTTTTAAGAAAACTTTCAACAACTGGATCGCAAATAAATTGACTAAAAGATACACCTTCCTGGCTATCAATTCGACCCACACTCTTAGTAACATTTCCGAAAACAAAATTTAAATTCATGTCCTCTTCTTTATTACATCCACTTCCACTTCCTTGTTCATCATCTTCATCATAATCACCTTTACCTTCAACATGATTTTTACCAATATTGCCCTCATGTGGACCACTTCCATCTCCCTGACCACCAGAACATTTCCCTTGATCATAATCTTCAACATTTTCATCATCATTAAGAAAATCATTCCCATAATCTTCATCATTAACTTGAACAAAACCAGGTGTTAATATCGGTTCTTTATATTTTTGTGAAACATAATGGAAATCAAAACTTTCTGTGCTTAAATCTTCAACAGGAAATAATAATTTCCAAATTTTCAAAATTTGACTTTGAGGAAATTTCAACACTCCCTCATCTATCTTTACAACAAGATCATTTTTCAAATCCTCCATCTTCTGATACATACATGAAAATTTACTTTCATACACCTACATAAGCAAAAAGATACTTACAACTAAAATACTTAAACATAAAAAGTCATAAATGAATAAATTAATTAAATCATAAATGAATAAATTAATTAAATCATAAATGAATAAAACTATAGAATTACCTCCACATCACTAACTTTATTAACATCAAAATCTTATTCATCCTCATCACATAAATCCTCATCACCATCAGATTCAACCTCATCACCACCATATTCCTCCTCATTATACTCAGATTCTTGAAATTCTTCTTCAACATATGTTTCATTAACATGTCCACATCCAAATCCTCCACTCTCTTGTAAAAATATCCTTAAGAAACCTTATCTTCTTTGACGTCCAATAAAAAATTGTTGCACGTTTACGTGTGACTTGCAAATGATCAAACTTGAAAGTATCCACATACAACAACTACAAAAAACATATATAACATCATAACATATATAACATCATATATGATTTTGATGTGTAATATATAATTAAACAAAAATTATACTACATAATCATATATGATTATATTTAATAAAATCATATATGATTTATTATAAAAACAAACATATTTTTACAACTAACAAGAATAATAAATATCAAAAAATAACTCACGTACCATAAGGTATGCTGCTGGTCCATAAAAGAAAGAAGATTCTTTCTCTGGATTGTAAACCCTCTTCATCCTTACTGTGACAACCGTCATATTCGGGTCAATTTGTGACAATCGTCAATCTTGAGTCAAGTCAAGTCATCAAGTCAAGCCGGTCAACTCTATTAAACCTTGTGTATTAGGGTTAGTGTTATGTTCGCATTTGTATGAGTGTAGTCGATGAATCGATAAAGCAAGAACATATGAGTTTTTGATTCACATTTGGATTGATGATTGAGGGATGATTCGTGAAGAAAAACGCGAAGTCAAGGACTATGAAATTGTTGGTTGCAAGAATTTAAAAACTCGATTGTGGAGTTGTTGATGCTCATTTTGCGAAGGTAAAACAATCGAGTGTTCGCATCTATGAATCAATTTGAAGTCAATTGGGTTAATATTCGCATATGGGTTCAACATATGAAAATTTTGATTTCGCAAGTTTAGAGTTCAAGAACTAAACTGTGTTCGCATCTGGAATGAAAAATTTTGTGAATCGCATTTGATTAATTAGGTTAAAATGCTAAGGGATGCGAAGGGTGTAAGAATGAAAATGCGAAGGTGATTAATGCGAAGGGATGCGAAGGGTGTAAGAATGAAAATGCGAAGGTGATTAATGCGAAGGGATGCGAAGGGTGTAAGAATGAAAATGCGAAGGTGATTAATGCGAAGGGATGCGAAGGGTGTAAGAATGAAAATGCGAAGGTGATTAATGCGAAGGGATGCGAAGGATGTAAGAATGAAAATGCGAAGGTGATTAATGCGAAGGGATGCGAAGGGTGTAAGAATGAAGATGCGAAGTATTTCACAGTAGAATGCGAATTGGGGAAGAAAACAGAAGATTTCAAATATTGTCCCTGGAGTTTCGCATTTTTGGAAATAAATACTCAACTTCGCAAATGGGGGTCATAAAATGATGAAATTGCAGAATTTTTAAAGAGATACACACACGTAGACAACCACACATATATTTAGAAAATTAAACTAAAAAAAAATGGGATATAGACTATTATAAGACATTGTTCTTGACTTTTGAGTCCAAAGACGTATGATCTGAACTTTAATTGTGAAATCGTCCTTGATTGAGTCAATTTCCTGTATAGGAGTAATATATTCCATTGTGCCTTGCAAGTTAAAAAAATAAAAATAAAAAAATCAAAGTCACAAGCAACCACCCCACACCCACTCTATGACCAGCCATACCTCCCCACCTTACCTATGTCACTTCAATGTTCCCTTACACTCAAATTTCACTCACTCCCACGTTTTTGAGCTGGAACAATCAACCACACTCCTCATTTTCTCTCATTTCTCTCATTCCACTAAGTAACAAACATCACTTTTTCTCTCAAACTCTTCTACACAAATTTTCGAGATCCAAAGCTGGATTCAAGTGTTCTTCCACACTTAGTAAGTAAAAATTCATCCTCCCTATTATTATTTCACTTCATTCTACTCAAATCTTTGGTTGCTTACACAAACTCCCTAACTATGATGTTAGATTCTCGAAAACCTTCAAGGCATCTCCAAGTGTTCTTGAATTAAACACTTCCATTCTTCAACAATCATCTACTGAAATCACTCAAGGTGAGTTCATACCCCTACATTTTCATGATTTCTCAAGTTTTCAGGGGGGGAATACAAGTTAAAACACTAAGAATATAACTAGATTTTTCTAACAGCCTTCATCAGAAAAGTTCAACTCCATTCACGGACTGTCTTGGGCATCTTAAACATTTTTGTTTTCAAAACTGTACAAGGTGCAAATAGTTCGAGTTTTTAGCTTTAAAATGGCTACTTGCACATCTCCATACGATTTTTCTACAATTTATGGTGATTTTTACAAAACTGCCTATCATTTCAAACAACAATCCGGACCAGTCTGTGATTTTGGACTTTTTCACCCAAGTTAGAGGTCATTATAAATTGAGATAAAATTTATGAGCAAACTAGACACATTTTGTGAACTCTCAAAATTTACGGATCTAGTTTTCGACTTCGTATGATTTTTCTATGATTTTTCCAAATACAGGGCAGAATGGCTAAAGTTAGCCAACAGCATGTAAATATCATAACACTTTGTATTATGTTGAGCAAAGTGTATAATCATAAGTTCTAATATTTGAATGTGTTTCCATGTTAGTTTATCATTATGAACTGGAATTAAGACATTCATATTAAATATTAAATATTATTCATTCATTTTGGAACACGTATTATTAGACTATAAGAGGTATAGTTTGATAAATTCACAATACTAATATATTTTCATAAAAGAATTCATACATATTACAAACATTTTAGATAAACTATAACAGGTATAGTTTATGATATATCACTCTACGCACTCGTACAAGAAGGGTACATTCATACAAGAAAGATTTCTATTCGCACACATTTCACGAAAGTTAATCTATGTTTTGATAAATTCACAACACTAGTTACATTTCCATAAAAAGGGTTCATACATAGTACATACATTTTAGATAAACTATAATAGGTATAGTTTATGATACATCACTCTACGCACTCGTACAAGAAAGGTACATTCATACAAGAAATATTTATATTCACAAACATTTAACGTAAACTTGTTATCCTATATTGTGAGTTTCTCTATTTTTTTTTCGATCTCTATCTCTCTATCTCCCCGTACGTCCGAGTGCGGGATATAATTCCTGGTAGTTATAATCAGAATCTCCTTGAGGGAGAACGTGATACTTGTATATAGATCTATATTGGGATTGACACCCCACACCTTGCTGCTAGCTACAGTTGGACCTGCAGGTCTACGGGTGACAAATGTCATTTCATTTTTCGCGACACTGAGAACGTCGTGGCAGGTTCACATAGTCATAGTATGATTATAACGGCTCACATAGGGAACAATCCATAAGTTTACGGGATTTTATTTTTAAAACCTAAATGAGTTTTATGTCGATTTAAAATCACCTTTTATCTCTATGGGTACAAATACAAAGTGTCGGGTCTCTATACAAAGCTATTATGATATTAAAACTACACTTCCTCTAAAATTGTTAGACTTCAACTATAGTCGCTGAGCGTATATGTTGAGTCATATAAGAATTTAGTCTTGATTGGCCTAGAATTGGTGGTGCCCGCCTCATCTCCTGTTCCTCGTTGGGTTGTGGACCTAGGGCAACCCACTATATTCAACGTTTTATCTAAGTTAAGCCTTATATAACTTTATATGTTGGACGATTATAGAGGAACTCTACGGATTACTCTAGGGTTCATTACAGCATCATGTAGGATTATTTCTATTCATACTTAACTAAGAAAATATTGGATTTTCTGGAAATCAAACTAAATCGATTTTACAAGGAAAAACGGTTTCTACTTCAAACAAAACTCTTATGAACTCACCAACCTTTGTGTTGACACTCTTTAAAACTACTTGTATTCTCAGGAAATCAGTGAAACAGGAAAACTTCATCGCTTTGAGGATGGGACGCTAAACCGTCAACAATTTATTTTGTCATCATAATGTAATTGCTTTTGAAACATGTAAACATATACTTTGGTGTAACTTTTGCAATTATATTTATGGTGGTTGTTTTTACTTTGAGCACTATTATACACGTTGTTGTGATACTGTACATGAAGTCCTCCACCCCCAGACGTTTCCGCCATCCTTGGTTTGGGGGTGTGACACTTACCAAACAATCCACAATGCAATCATACCAGTCAATGCTACTTAAATCAGTATCTCTTCTGATGAAATACAATGGATTCAGATTATGTTTACCCATGCTTGTAGACTCAAATAAAGTATTATAAAAAAAACCAAAAAATTGATTCTGAAGTTGTCACCGGCAACACTAGTTTGAACAAGTTCATTATTTAGCTATTTCAATCTAAATTTATCAATATTTTCATACTGTTTCTTCCACTCAAACATAAAACTCTCTTCATTATTCTCCGAAATGTAATCCATGTTTGAAAGTAATGAGCCACCAGATGGTAATCCTAACATCTCTTGATCAAACTTACTATCAACACTAACTTCACAATTATCAAACTCCACCTTCACAGATTCAAAATTAAAATGATCAAGAACATAATAAACACTCTTCAACGGTGTGTCAATCATCTTCATCCCTAACAAACTCCCAAATCCCATAGCCCTAACACAATCCTTCTATTCTCTACTTAAACCTTGAATAACACCCAACAATGACCTGGGTGAACATCTATTCTTCAATTAAGGAAATTCTTTTATAATAACAGTTTTTTTTTTATCTTTCTTCAAAACTTTAGTTTCTCTCTTTGGTTTCTTTGAAGATGCAGGACAACTTTGAAA